TGCAAAAATAAGTGCAATTATTATTCCAGCCTGAATGCTTAATCCAATCATTGGCTCTTAGCTGTGGCATTTTTTTTTTTTTTTACTGCTGAGAAAATCCACAGGTATTTTTACCAATATTCATTCTTCCTCATTTCTCAAAATAGTCTTTTTTCCACCTGGGAAGTCACACACCCTGATTCTAGTAGACAGGCCATTATAATTTCCACTCTTGTTGCCAGCTGCAAATTACTCCCAGGTGTATTATTATTTCTCCCAGGAAATAATCAAGAGTTCCTAATTTGGGAAAAAAATATCCCATTAATTTATTTAATTTGGAATCTGTCATTTTGAAGTGCACAAAGAAACTGCAAAAGAAGGTGAATACCATGGTATTTGTATTATTTTGGTTACCAGGGTAAAGAAAAATTTCAAAGTTAGCACCATCCTAGGCTGTATCAAGTGGGCTTAACACACCAATATCTTCAGTTCTATTTCATCCACCCACAATGTAGCCAAAGGAAAAGGACAAACAGGAGATGGAGGCCTCATGTCTGGTGAACTTGCATTTTCATGGGTCATTCTAGAGCTTCAGTTCTGCCTCAGAAGTGGAAATGGACAATTATTTTCCCCAGTTAGCAGTTTGCATGACACTATTGACCAGGGCGAGTTAATGTAGTCCTGGGCAGCTTAGCACTGAAGTTAACCCCCTCTGAGTTAGTTGTTGAGGTTAATTAACTGGGTTGGAGTGTTTGCACTGGGCAGTTATCTTTGCTCCCAGAGCAAGTTAACAGTGCTGTGCAAACAGGGTCAGAAGTACTTTGCCTCTCAGCTGTAAAATCCGGGGGCCAATCTGTCCGTGTTCACATTACTTGTAGTCATAGGGAGCAGTCATGGCCTTGATTGTAATAGCTACACCATAACATTAATAATTAGAAATGAACCTCTTCAAAGCTCTCTGTAGGCAAAATTTAATCTCCTTGCCACAGTATGTGGTATTTTCACAGATGACCATTTCAGACCGAAAGCCAAAATGTGTTGCTGTGCGTCCTGCAGTGAAAGAGTGTCAGAATGCAGCTCAGGTCACATTTAAGCTGCTGCCTCACTGTTTTTCTATTCATGTGGCTTTATCAAGAGTGCATTTTTGCCCTCCTTTCAGTCCTCATGTTGTTTGGTCAAAGATTTTATCAATTCAGCTGTTCAAACGGACAGGACTCAGCATGCTTCTAAATATGTACAATTTCTACATCATATTTTAATGCTCTGTGTTCTGCCCTGCAAGTAAGCCTCATATTTCTCAATTTCCATCATCAATGTGACTCTCAGAAGGCTTCTCCTGGAGTACAAACCATTGCTGCCAATTACAGAGTTTAAGTGAGAGACCCCAATATTTAATGGTTCCTTATCTTGGAACCAATTCACATGGATCAAACTAGAAGAAAAATGTGTGCTTCAGCAATCTCTCTCTCTCTCTCTCTCTCTCTCTCTCTCTCTCTCTTCCTCTCCCTCTCCCTCTCTCTCCCTCCCTCCCTCCCTCCTTCAAATGTTTTAAGTTTTTACATATAGGAAAGGATACTGGATCCGGCTGAAGAAAATCAACATAATGTAGATTATCAGGTTTCCATCACTTTATGAGATGATCCTCACATTGCAAACTGAAACTCTTTAGAAAATAGCTTATACAAGATTAGGCATTCTATTGTAAATGCTGTCTGTGATTACTAGAAGTTAATTAATCCTGAAAACAAGATTGTGGCCTTGTTTTGTTTCCTAATGTTAAGGAACATAATTAGGAAAGAGAACATAGGCTTAAGGGAGCTGGGCTCTTTTGGCACCTTGTACAAATATAAAGCACCTGATTAAGCAACAGTGAAAATAAAAAAAAAATGATTAGTTTGCTGAAATTATAAATGCTTGTGGAAAACAGGAGTAAATCTGTGAGCTTCAGCAGGGATATCTATTAAGAGGTCGAAAAAGTCAAGATGGTGCCTGTGATTTGGTTACAGTCACCATATATGTAACAGGTTAGAGCTTGAATTGCAGAAATTAGATCCACAATCTTGACCTTCTCTCTCTTCCTCTCTCTCTCTCTTACACACGCATTCCAGCTAATGGATATTCTAAGTCAGTATTTTTCAAACTTGGTAACTTTAAGATGTGTGCATTTCATCGCCCAGAATTCCCCAGCCAGCACGCTTGAAAAACTCCTCTAAGCTCTAGTGTTGATAGTGAATATGAACTACTTGTGGTGGTTGTTCTCTAAAGCATCTGGAAGAGAAGTGGCTCTTTAGCCCCCACAACTCCATTGTTTCTTAACTTCAGCAAACTTAAGACATGTGAACTTCAACTAGCATGCTGACTGGTAAATTTTGAGAATTAGGTCTACATATCTTATATTTGCTGAGATTGAGAGAATTAAGGGGGCAAAGGGAGAGAACTGGCCCCTAGAGCAGAGGTAGGCAACCTTGGCTCTTTTATGATCGTGGATTTCATGCTGGCTCAGGAATTCTGGGAGTTGAAGTCCACGAGTCATAAAAGAGCCAAGGTTGTCTACCCCTGCCCTAGAGTCTAGACTTCCCCCACTTTTCTTCCCCCTCCTGTTCCTATAATCAGAGAATGTAACTGCTTTGGCGTTAATTCTCCAGCCCCACGAAAGATTTTAGTGATTTGCCTCTCTTCTCTTTCTTTCCCATTCAGTCAGCTTCTCTTGTGGTCAGAAGTCCTAATCCTACAATAGGGGCCAATAATGCAGACAGCGCATTTTAAACTGGCATATTTCTATATGGTTCAGGGACTGCAGAAACCCGCTGTAGACCAGCCTCGGCAGCTTTCAGATGGATGGGCTTCAGCTCCCAGAATTGCCAGCCAGCCACCAATTCTGGGAAAAGTTTGAAAAACACTGGTTTAGACATGCCCATAACAAAAAATGGAAAAGACCTATGGCTATTCAGAAAGGAAGGTACTAGGCTGGCATTAGTTCTGCCCCTTGTTTGGGTCCTGGGATATCTACATCCCTCATGCAAGGAACGCGAAAAAACTGGAAACCGGAGAAGTGATCGTAGCAGGCTAAAGTTATATCCTGGCCGGTGGAACCCTGGATCCACGGGGATATGGGCACTTGGCCTGGAGCAACTTCTCTAGCAAGTAAGTGAATACGCCTCTGACACGAGCAGTCTCAGGCGCTAGGACGCTTGCAGGGAGACGGGGACATACAGAGCGCGGTCTCGAACTCGATACCCGCTGAGCTTTTCGTAAGAACTGCAGTTGCTAGTTGCCGCTGCGCCACGGTAGTTTTGGAAGTACCAAGATTGTTTTTAGGCGAACAAAATGGAAGCAGATTCCACCAAGCCGTTCTGTACATTTTCTAGAGTCGTAACCATCGTTCTCGAGTCTGTTTTGATTTTTCGGCTTTTCTGGTGTGACGATCAGTTTCATCCCCGGGGTGTATAGCCTTTCATGAAGTTTATGATATTTCGACATTTGCAATCCCCCGGGAAAGTAAATCCAATAGTGGCGAATATCTGTAGCTCGGGTGTAGATGAGGGTAAAGGTCCGTTCTCCGAGCCTGATAGCGAAACGTTCAGAAACCAACCCACAAGCTCGAAGAAGGAACCTTTACCCTCAAAGTAAATCCAGTCCATCGCCCCCACCGTGTCTTTTGGAAGCGTTGCCTAAGAGAGATCCAAATCAGGACGCTGCTACACTCGCTTACGTGTAGTGATTCTAATGAACCCAGCAGACAACCTGCCGCCTGTAACGCCACGCCTTGAATAGGAGAGCGGAGACGACACAGAATCCTCGTACTGTGCTATACAGAGTATGTAGGGAGGAAAACTGATCCTTTCCCACTAGTTTTCCTAACTAAAACACCTCACTTGTATCTGCCTTCTTAATATATATTATTTTTCTCCCTCTTCTGGGGCTTTGGCAACTATCTGTAGAAATTTGGCATCCATGCATCTGTTCGTGGCTGAAATTTACCTCAGGTCCTAAATCCACACAGAACTAAGCTAATTTTATTTTTCTAAAGCTACCACTGTATGATACGGCCTCAGCGTTTTACTTCCTGTATCGTTTGCCAAATGGGAAAAAAAGATACAAAACTTTTATGGAAGATAGTATATTTATTGGAATTGCCACTTTTTCATTTACTAAGTATTGTATACTCTAACAACTTCATAACAGGTAGGCAATGAATAGATAAAAGATTTTTTTGTGCACATTTGCAACTCTAATTCTGGGAAACACTGCATGTTGGGAAATGAATACTTACCTGCCAGATGATTATTACAAGAAACTTGCAGAAGAAAATCTGTCAAATTCCATTAATTTAATAAATAAATTTTAATACAATTTCATTATTTAATTATAATTCTAAGAAAAGCCACATGGCTGACTTATACTCTCTCAGCCCAATTCACCTCACAGTTGTTGTAGGGAAAAATAGGAGGAAGGAATATTAGGTATGTTTACCTTCTTGAATTATTTATAGAAATAATAAAAGCTGCCAATGTATACTGTATCTTTATCATCTATTTAGCAAGAGCTGCTACAGGAGAAAAAGGGAAACATAGCTTAAATGTTCTATAAATGAATTTCCAGAATTTATTTCATTTCAGCAACCTAGTAAGAAGTAACTGCTAAATGTTATTAGTAATTCTAACAATTGATACAAATATATACTTTAAAACAGTGGTTCTCAACCTGTGGGTCGGGACCCCATTTGGGGTCGAACGACCATTTCACGGGGGTCGCCAAACAAGGCTGTCCGCCATTTTTTCCCCCTTTTCTTTGGCCACGCCCCTGGCACCCGGTGATGTACAAGTGGTTGGGGGTCACCACAACATGGGGAACTGTATTATGGGGTCGCGGCATTAGAAAGGTTGAGAACCACTGCTTTAAAAGGTTGCACTTCTGTGGTTTCTGGGAAGGTAACATAGCCTGTACAATATTTTATTTTTTCTATTCTGAAAGCTCAAATAAGCTCCAAAAAAGGAGATCCAACATTAGTACCTTTTCTATTTTTTGAAAAACCCTGAAGTGATTCTGCTATCATTTGAAGGGGGAAAATGTATTAGAGGTGAATCTATAATATGCACCTAGACTAGCATCTAATCTGTAGTAGCCCTTTGGGTGATACATGATTTCTTTCCTATAGTTTTAACAGGGTATTCATTTAAATTAAAATCCAAAAGACAAAAATAAACAAGAGGCAAAACATTACTTCATTTCTTCTAGTAGTCAGAGGTCAAATAGTCCATCTTCCATGGATATATTTAGAAGCAAACTGCATTGGATTCAAAGTGGGTTTACGTGAAAGATAGACTTATGACCCTCAACCTCTCTGGAATAATATATGCATTTGAAATGCCAAGAACCCCAGGGGCACATTCACAACAGAGGTACTATGAATGACATTCCCACTTACTCATATATCAGAACGATACCTGCCACATTCCCCACTAAGTACACTTAAGTTATCTTTTAATTCTAGACAGATGAATATGTATCAAGACAAAGTACTGAACTGTAGAAATAAAAAATTATGCAAATCAGAAGCTTTCTTGGAAATAAATATGAGGATGGGGCTGATGTTTTGTTTTGCATTATGCAATTCCTATTAAAAATACTAATCAAAGGAGTAAGTAGTCAAGAGGACAGGAAGTTTGACAGGAAACAAGGGATATTCACAGGCATATTTCTATCCAATTGCCCAAGGCAAAATGGGCAGCAAACAAATCTAATAAATGAATCTTGAGAATACATAGTACATAATAAAACTGGTCTAACACCACAGATGGCAGCAGTTTTAGGAATATCCAACAGTATTTTTTACTGAGGCCATAAATGTACTCTTAGCATAAAAGAGAGTGATGCAAATAAAATCTTAAGAGATTAATAGGCACTTGCAAACCTTGAAATGCCCCAAACTACTTGAATCATATGATTGAGTTGCATAAGATATTACATCAAGGATTTATATCTTCACAATAGGATTGTGGGTCAAATTCCAACTGATTCAGGAAATAGACAGATTACAAAGAAGAAAATACCAACTTCTGTTGTTGAATTTTTTGCTGTCATTATATAAATCCTAGTAATAAAGTTCTACTACATAAATATGAAATTAAATGGCCAAATTCAATTTTATTATTAGATATAAATGGAAAAATTTAAAGCACATATAAAATTATTCTTCCTTTTCTCCCTGTGTTGTCTGCATTCTTTATCCAACCATAGATCTTTTTCTTCCCCTCAATCGTACTTCATCCAGCTTTTTAATCACCGGAATTGATTTTTTAGATGCAGCTGAGTATTTCTTCAAAAGTGCTTCAAACAGAGCTTCTGTGTTTGGATGGGTACTCAAAAAGGCTTTCTCTAAAACATATAAATCAACACCCTTATCCTCAGGAAGGCCAGAAATAAAACTTAGTCCAAAATCTATTAACATCAAGTCCAGATTCTCTTCTGGTGGTTGCAAAAGCATGTTAGAAGTTGTGAGATCCCCATGGACGAGGTCTTCATCATGCATTCGTGCCAATATCTCACCTATCTTTTCAGCTAATTGAATAAGACAGCTGATCCCTTCACCAGATTGCTGCTGGGAGATTATATAGTCCCGAACAGTAGTTGATCCTACAACATCTTCAAGATATATACAGTTAGCAACATAGTCCACAAAATACACGACGGGTGCAGAAATCCCTAAAAAGAGGACAGTAAAAACCATTAGTTTTGGGTGGAATATATTATACCAGGGATGTCAAATTTCCAGTCCGCAGGTCAGTTGCATCATACAGAGGCTGTGCCCACCTCAGCTCTGGCAATGCAAAAAAAGTCATAATACAGTGTGACACGTGACGTGGCAAGTTTGACACCAGTGTATTATATCATATTAGGAGACAGACTGATGTTCTGTTCAGTGCTCACCCTTCCTCCAGACAAAACTGTTACCATTCTACCCTTTCCCTTATCACAGGCATGTCCTACTGCAATGCATTATCTTTCTTGCTTTTGAGCTTTAAAGCAGTCATCAATCAACAGCTTGCCATGTTATCTACAGCTGGCTATTATGAGAAGCTACAGAATTTAAAAAATATACAGTAGAAACTGGGAATGCTCATGTACTGACAAGAAATGTTTTTAAAAACAGAAAAAAAATATTTTAAAGCTGGCACGTTTTATTCATTAAAACTTGCATCCTGTCTTTCCTCCAGGTGCTCAAGGCACTTACATAGCACTCTGCCCTCCATTTTTGTCCAACACCTATAAAGAGGAATATGGGCTGAGATGAAGAGCTGTCTCCAAATCACTCAGTGAGCTTCCATGACTGAGAATGACGTTCATAATGTTATAACCACTACCCCAAGCAAAAATCCATCTTCTAGCAGTCTGATATCCAACTGGTTTAGTAAATTTAATTGTGAAGATGTAAAACACAAGCTATACTTGATCAGGAAGATACTCAATACATTACTGGCTCCTACCATTAACACTTCCCATATTATGACAATGTCTGTGAGAAATTGATGACAGCAAATAAAATACATTAAATTTTAAAGTATTATAGAAAAGGGATTTTTGTAATACTCCAAATAAGAGGTAGTATATCTTCTCCAAATGCGACACATTCAAACGTGTTTAACCTATCCATTACATTTTTTTTAAAAAAATAGATCTTCTACTTCCTTAGCTATTTCAGACAGCCTCTCCAATAAATGGAACTGAAAAAAACCTTCCAATAAATGGAAGTGAAAAAAAACTTTGAATCAAGTTTTAGTAAAAACGGATCAATATCCCAAGGACAACAACATATATATATATATATACACACATATACATATATATATATTCCTTTGCCAATCAAGTGCTGTTACGATCTCCCTGCTTTAGCCTATTTTAGACTACAGTAGAATCGCTGCTTTTACTTATTCATGGGGGGGGAGAAGCGGATCTGGTGTTCTTTGATTGGCCGTCATGAGGAGCCCACCCACTTCCTGCCTCATCCAATCCCTGGCCAAGCCCCCCCCCCCACCTGCTCGTCGACAGCGTAGCAACGAACGGGCCTCTTGCGCCGTTCGCTTATGGCTGAGCCTCTCATCCAGCGTCGGGTGCCGGTAACGTTTCGGGAACCGGAGTTTCATCACGGTCGGCCTGCCTAAGAATTGGCCCCGATAGAGGCGTGCTTCGGCTCCCTGCTGGATCAACTGCAGACCCTCCATGGGAGGAGGGAATCCTGGTGAATCAGCTTGGACCGACCCGTCCTCGGAGTTTGATCCCGCCATGATAACAAAATGGCCGGGCCAGCTTCCTCTTTTACTACGCATGCGCAATCCTAAACTAAGTGGCGCCCGTGTCATGCGCAAATTCTGCAACTGAATGAGCAACGGTATTTGGATTGCAAAGATTAGACGACCGTTAAACGTCAACAAGGAAAATCTGACATCTTGTGGTCGACTGGGTGTTTTCAATCCATATTTTGTAAGCCGTAATAAAGAGTAAATTTTTCCTATGTTCTTTCTAGAATGATAGGGAGATGGATGGATGGATAGATAGATAGATAATTTTATATATTTATTTTATATGCTTTCCAAGACAATTCCTCTTCACTTAGTGTGCCCCAGCAAACCAAAAGGTTGGATTCCTTGCTATTAATGAAAATTGCTACTGTGAAAATATTTACTTGATCATCTACACTCAGAATATCTCAGCCCAACCACCTCAGAAGTTATTATTGTGGAGAAAATAGGTGGATTAGGTGTGTTTGTTGCTTCAAATTATATATAAACAGGCAGGATACAAATAACAAGAAAAAGAACAGAGTTAGGACACCCTATAAAATCACAATACCTAAGACTGGTTTGTAAAAGTATTGTATGTGAGTATGGAGTCAACTGCTGTCTATGTGCAGAGCTCTTCATAATCTGGAAAAGATCTCTAAAAACCTGGAGGAGGTTCATGCCATTTGCAGACTGATGCGCTTAAATTTTTTGAAAGTATTAGGCCTATAATAGGAAGAAATGATATAGTAACATACAAAAGTAATAGGATAGTGACTGACATGTCTATCTGGAAGCATGTTTTGCTTGGTTCAGTGAGGTCTACTACAACCTATCCTCAACCTGTTGGTTATAGATTAAGATTTTGTTTCTATTTGCCTCAGAGTAATTTATTTGGATTTAGTCCTGGGTAGACCCAGGCTTGGATTATTTAATGAATTTTATATAAAATAATTGCATGACTGCAATTTTTCCTTGGCTGTACAACCTGTAGCGTCCCCCCCCCCAAGTTTCAATGTAGTATCAAGAATTACACAAGAATTGCCAGTGGATTTTAATGTTTAATGTAATAGGTAAAAAAATCTTTTCTTGCTTAGTCATATGGACAGAAGAAAATTCTGGAAGCTCTTCAGAAAATGAATAAAGAGACCATTGCAGAATACATGAAATAGAAATGCTTCTATAATTCAAGCACAAAGAACTCGCGTACCTGTTTGGTTTTTATTGTTATATTTGCTTTACTGATATATTGTACATTAATCCTATTTTTTTCAAAGTTATACTGATTATGAATGTAGGGAATTACAACCCCACATAGTCATAAAGCCAGATTAGGTAATTGTCTGCATTCTTCAAGATGTTTCATTCTCAGCAGTGTTCACTGCAAATTAGTATCTGCTTCCTTTCATAATTTTTATTTATTTGAGCAGATACAAGTGTGGGTGGTATTGTATAAAAATATCTGCATCTTTCATATCTAAGGAAGGGAAAATTTTGGCAGATATAACTTGTACGTTGAGCTCATGTTGGATTCTTTAGGATGTGCTTGTACACATTGCTAAATCATGCTTATTTTATTATGGTTTAAATAAATTAATTAGCTAACATATTAATCCATAAACCATAGGTTAGCATCCTTATTGAGCAAATTCATGCAACATGCTAAGCAAAATTGAAACAAACTACATTATGACTTAAATGCTTTTTGTATGAAACTGGCTATAAAGCTATAGAAAATTTGTCCCTAATCCTGTTGCCATCCCTAGTGGTGGAACAAAGCAAACTGGATGGCTAATTGGAGATGGTTTTAAAAATCTGTATGTATGGAGTCCCCAAACAGGGCCTGGGAAAATCTAGATCAGAGCTTTTCAACCGGTGGTATGGGTACCACCAATGGTACGCAAGCACATGGCTGGTGGTATGCGTAGGACGGTTTGAAAAAAAAATGGAAAAAAGTGTAAAAGTGGATGAGGTGAAGCGGCAGCAGCGCCGCACAGGCTTGTGGCAAAGTCAGCTGGAACTGCACGTTGCCTGAGTCCTACTGAGAGCCCAGGATCAAAGCGCGCAGCTCCAGCTGATTGGCGGTGGCCTGGGGACGGCAGGCAGACTCACACAGTCTTCAGTGGAGATTCCGCTGGAGCTGCGCGATGCATTGCCTGGGTCGCCTCTGCCCCCACCCAGATGCCCTCACCTCCCCCAAGCATTTTTTTACTCACCTGATTTCAGCAGCATTCCCTTTCTCCTGTCCTCAGCCTTCGTGTCTTTGTGAGACAAAAAAAAAGTTCCATGACACTTTCTAACTTCTTGCGAGAAGTTAGAAAGTCTCATGTAACTTTTTTTCTTTTTTACCCACAAACACGTGGCGAAGGCAGAGAAGCAAACAAAGGTAGAGAAGCAAAAGGAGAAAGGGAGTGCAGCTGAAAGCAGTGAGTAAAAAATGCTTGGGGGAGGCGAGGACATCTGGGCCGGGGCACCAACTTTACCCTGCATGGTGGCAGGTTAACGGCCGGCGCAGGGAGGCCCAGGAGGAGCTGCACAAAGCAGGCAGTAGAAAGGCCGGGCAGATTGTGGGTGCCGTTAGAGGGCGTGGGGTGGCCCTTCCCGGCAAGGCCCTCCCACTTTTCCCACTGCTCTCATGGCTGCCTTCCGGTTGTTGGGCTCAGCTCTTGTCTGGAGAGCAAGGCCCAGTTTTGGCCACAGATCAGTGCAGCGATGGGGCTGCAGCCGAAAAGCGCCCCTTTGTACCCGGGGAGGGGCTGGAGCTGCTGCAGTTGCATTTTGGCTTGGCGCTGAGGAGCCTCCCAGGGTCTAGCCTGGTGCTAAGGCTCCACCGTGCCCGTAAAAGAAATGCCCGGGGCCGTGCCTGGCTCCAGGCTGCGGCTCCCAACTGACCTTGGCTGAAACTCAGCAAGTCGGATTTCCATAGAGGCATTCAGGAAAATGCCGGTGCGGTCCTGGGGAGGGCAAAGAAGCCTGTCCAGATAAGGCACCTTTCGGTCTCGCCAGCTGAAAAAACTCTTGGTCTGCAAGGCTGTGAAATCCCTAAACCTAAAGTAGGAGCTTGCCTGCAGGAGGAAGGAATTAAACCCCTTTTTCTGTGAGGGGATGCAGGGAAAAAAAGAAATTGCTTGGTTTAGTTGTGGTTCAGAAAGGTGCAGGGCAGTCCCAGATCTGGATGGATTTGTAAATTATGTTGGAGTCTGAATTAAAATTGGATTTGATGTTGGGAGATTTGCTGCCTGTCAGGGTGCTAAGGTATCGGATGGGAAGGGAAAGGCGCTTTAGCTTTTGTTGCTCAGCTGGAAGAGAGTTTCAGGGGTGTACACTATTAAATATTAAATCCTTGGGGCTGGCTGCAGCAATGAACGAGCCGCTTCCCCGCTTGCTGCTTTTTTCCGGCTGCGGCCACGCACAACGCACCAGAGGGAGTCTGCCAGCTGCGGCTCTTTCCCCACCCCCATGCGCTCCTCCACTGGCTGCACTCTCCTCCCCCTACAGAATAACAGCAGCTGTGCTGGGCTCCCAGCTGCACCGAGCATGGCCATCACTCCTTTTCAGAGGAAGCAGCCAAGGAGAAGCAGCGGGCAGGAACAGCAGCAGCCGTCTGGCCTCGCAACAGTGGCGGTGGCGGCAGCAGCAGCCAAAGTGCCTCCTCCAGGCTCTTTTATGCCCTCCACACTGGACAATGGGAGGGAGAGAAGGAAGGAACAAAGAAAGGAGGAAGGAAAGGAAGGAAGGGACAAAGAGAGGAGGAAGGAAAGGGAGGGAGGGACAATGGAAGGGAGGGAGGGAAGGAGGTAGGGACAAAGGGAAGAAAGGAAGGAAAGAAGGGAAGAACAATGGGAGGGAGGGAAGGAAGAAAAGACGGAGGGAAGAAGGGAAGGAAGGAAAGAAGGGAGGGAGGGAGGGAGGAAAGGAGGAAGGGATAAAGGGAGGGGTGGAAGAGAGGGAGGGACAATGGGAGGGAGGGAAGGAGGAAGGGACAAAGGGAGGAAAGGAAGGAAAGAAGAAAAGGGAGGGAGGGAGGGAGGGACAATGGAAGGGAGGGAGGGAAGGAGGAAGGGACAAATGAACGGAAGGAAGGAAGGGAGGGACAATGGGAGGGAGGGAAGGAGGAAGGGACAAAGAGGGAAGGAAGAAAGGAAGGAAAGAAGAAAGGAAGGGACAATGGGAGGGAGAGAGGGAGGAAAGGAAGGTGCCCATGCTGTCCCACCCCCCTCCACCAGAGACTCACAGATCCCCTCCACATCCCCGCCTACAGGCACCCTGCAACCTGAGTGATGAGCTGGCCACGCCCCCCTGGCCATTGACTTCGCTTGTCAAAAAGTTGCAAAAGGTGATCACATGACCTGGGACACTGTGACCATCATAAGTGTGAATCAGTTGCCAAGAATCCAAATTTAAATCACATGACCCTGAGGATGCTGCAACAGCATTAAGTGTGAAAAATGGTCATAATTTGCTTTTTTCAGTGCTGTTGTAACTTCAAACAGTCACTAAGCAAATTGTTATAAGTCGAGGACTACCTGTACTTTATCATTTTTTCCTCTCTTTTTTTGGTCAAGTTTTTGACACCTTGCTGTGCGACTGGTGGTACTCGGATATTACCTTATCCTAAAAGTGGTACAATGGGTTGAAAAGGTTGAAAAGCCCTGATCTAGATGCCTTCAACCCAAAGAATTAGTTTTCTGTATGTCTTTGGCACCATCTAGTGGTTGGTCATTCATTTGTGATCCAGGTATGGTAAATCTACAACATATCCATGGAGTTTGGGGCTACCAAGAGATAAAGAACAAAGTATTGTGTGTCTTGATTATTAGGTGTCAGAGAATAACAGTATAGAAGAGCTACCATCCTCCTTTCCTAGTTGGTAAGGTTTCAAAAAAAAAAAAACCTAATAATAAAATTGGTCAAGCATTATGTGATACAAAGTGCTGGACTAAATAGGTTGTTGAACTACTGCAGGATTCTTCTCAAATTTTATTTGAAAATAAATTACTATTTGATATAATGAAATGGACATGAAAAGCCATATTTTGTTTTTAGAAATACTTTTCTCCTTGCTTTGCTATGAAACCTCCTGGCATGATGCATCTTAAAAGTATGTAGTCACACCTTTGTACAGTAAGTGGCTTAATATAATTTGCATATGATTAAAATGGCAAATTTATCTTTTTTTTCCTATTCACTCATTATATGGTATTAAAATTATTGTCTTCTTTTTCCTGCCTTCCCTATATAAGAAATCTAATTTGTCAAAAGTATGGTCAGTGGATTATCATAGTTTTTTTCCCCCTCTCTAAAGTTACAAATATTTATTTCTTCATCCCATGTCCCATCTCTTATCTATAGACAAATTCATAAAACATCATCTTTTCAGTCCTGGTGTCAATAGAAAGTCCAGAAAAGATAACCAGAAGTACCAGCACATCTTGCTTTAATCTTAGTCTAATAAACCAACTTTGTATTCCTTCCTTTTACTTCTAACAGACTTAATCTTTAGTTCATTCAAATATTGTTGTAGGATTTGATTTTTCTTCATTTCTTCTTTGTCCCATAGCACAGAGTTCTTCAATATTTTAACAAGCCTTTTTTGTAAAGCTAATTGGAAAACATTATCTAAGTCACTCTCTTGGTTTGTCATTTGTATTTCCCTTCTAAATTTCAACACCTCAGCCAGTTTCTTTTGTAGATTTAGTCTAGCCATAGAAGCAGACATTATTACAGTACAGACATTGTTGATATTGAGGCTACTGTTTTCTGATTCCATTCTTCAAGTTTCCTTCAATATTTTTATTGTCATGTTATAGGCCTGTGTGATTCCTCTACCTAAAAAACATAATTCTCTCTTAGTGTCCAGTTTCTGAAATCATGAAATATATGAAGTATGTCTTGTAATAACCAAAATCGGTCTATTTCCCATAAGAAACTATTAGTGCTTTATAATTATTATATTTGTAAACGTTTTAGTATTTTTACTCTGTTTATAACGTTCTGAAATTGAAATCTGATTTAGCTCCTTGCTGTTTATTTCAGATTCTTTAAATTCTTAAACTTTTGATCAATTTTTTTTTTCATTCAGGATTGAAGATAACTCATCCTGCATTTTCAAATCTGTAATTCCGAAGTTCTCTCACAACTTAAAAACAGTCTTTTAAGTCTCTGCCACAGTTGCAAACAAGATGGCAATCCTGTAATGTCCGAATGTTGAGACTTGCAGAAAATCATTGTCTTGCTGTCTCCTCACAAGGAGCAATTATCTGAAGCAAATAAGTGATTTTCCATTCTCTCATTAAGAGATTCCAAGGAACTGGTCTATTCACTGTTTTCATAGAACTGTCTTCGATTTCCCTTACTTCCCATCTGAGGTGTGAGCCAGGTTATTGTATGCAGGTTGTGGAACAAATCCTAATAAACTAAACTGTCTGGGAAGGAATGAAGAAGTGTCACTGTGAAGTCATATTAAGTGCAAGACCAGCAAGCATGGTGATCAGCATTACAAAGCAATTGCTCTAGTTAGCAGATCGTTCCAATATCATTTCTGAATTCATCTTTAAAAACCCTACTTCCTTCAACTTTATTGATTTTATGGGTTTTCTTCAGTATCTTATTTGAAGTCCTTTTGAACCATTCATAAGATGCAACCATTCAAATAAACATTTTTTAATGTTTCCTCTGAAACTGAAATTTGAAAAAGGGAACAGTAAGTTAATCTATAAAACATATAAAGAGCTAGCTCATTTAAATATGAATTAGAAATATGAAAAAGCCAAGTTCAGATATACATCTCTCTGAGTAGAACAGATTATCTTCAGTTGTATTCTCACACCGAGAGGAATTATGAAAAAACAGTGAAATTCCAAAGTGACATTGTGGAATAGCAGCAGTTTGTAATAAAACAAAGTTTTTGAAAACAAAGTGCCTTCATTTAAGGCACAAAGCAACAATTCAAGAACAGCAAATCGATTGATGTTACTCCTAGGAATCCTTTGATCCTAAAACACACTTGAAAAGCTGTTATAGAAAAGCTGAATTTATTTTGTTTGCAGTTGAATGTATACAGTTCTGCTTTTTTAACAAATTTGCTAAATGGCTAAGAAGAAAAACAATTATAAAACAAAAGACAATCCTAGCCTAGTCCAGTGTAGGCCTGTATTGTTCTAAAAGAAACCTGATAGTAGGAGAAAGTGAACAGTTTTGCTATGACGGAGAGATAAAAAATGAGCTCTTAGATTTTTTTCCTTTTTGTTACTATTAAGTGTGAAAAGAGAGGTGGGAAAGAAGGGAGGGAGGCAGAAAGAAAGGAAGGAAGGAAGGATTCTTAAGAAAGAAACCCACTATATATATAGAAAAAAAAATAAGGGATAAATCAGTTATTTCTGACCTGTGGCATACATTCTAGGTGAGCTATTATTATGATATACAATAATCTTTTAAAATGAGTAAGGCTTTGTTCTTGATTTTACTTTTTATTGTTTTTCTCTTTTTCTAAAAGTTCTCCCTGAAGTCACATGTCAGCTGTGTGCAGCTCCTTTGTTGTTTCCCCTTTACATATACAGTACATTAAAATTGAGAGCAGTGTGATCACTATTTTCAATCAAGTTTTTTAAAATGACATATTTGACTCTTTTCCGATCTTTTGCACGAGCAAACCCCTAGGTAGGGGGTGCCGTGAGGGGGGTTATTATCAACTATTGCTAGATAATGGACAGAATGTCATGATACAAAGGGGTTGGCACAAAGAAGAGGGAGTCAAGTTATTCTCCAAAGCATCTGAGGTTAGGACAAGAAGCTATTGATGGAAACTAATCAAAGAGAAAAGCAACCTAGAATTAAGGAGAAATTGCCTGTCAGCTAGAACAATTAATCAGTGGACAACCTACCTCCAGAATACTCCAACACTGGAAGTTTTTAAGAAGACTGGATAACCATTTATCTGAAATGGTATAGGGTTTCCTGCATGAGCAGGAGATTGGACTAGAAGACCTCCAAGATCTCTTCCAGCTCATTATTATTATTAGTAGTAGTAGTAGTAATATTAGTATTATTATTCCCCATCCCCTTTGCTTACTTGTTAATATCACACAGGTATGTTCAAAAGGATAGGATTTGCATTGCCATTTACTAATTTGACCTCTCTGATCTTAGAGTAAAGCATGGCCTACGCGGAGCAGTGCAGCCAAGGACATGGCAGCCAGGCAGCGTAGACAAAACTCTGCTCTCACACCCCATCGTGCACAGTTGATGCTGCAGGGCGCGGGCAGAGGCGTGACCACCATAGCGCTGCTGGGCTGCCTGGGCGATCTGCAGCGAGCCCTGTAGGCGGTGTGTGGTCCTGCAGGCAGGCGGGGCAGGGGATGGGGGCGGAGCAGGGACAGGGACGGAGTGGGGGCAGGACCAGTTTTTGGGCACTCGGTCTCTAAAAGGTTTGCCATTACTGCCATAGGTTAATGGAAGAAATGCTTTCTTTTAAGGCTGTGCAAGACCTCAGCTTTGAAGGGGAAAAGATGCTTCAGTGTGCAAAAGATCCATAGCTGGCCGTTGTCTACAACGCCAGAAATGTAAACACATCTTTTCTTGGGATCATCCTACAGTTGCAGAGAGCAGCCATGTGATCCTAGAGAAGATTCAGCAGCTTAAAGCAATTCCCAACAGATCTTAATCAGCACTCCTGTGGACACTGAAGCACCTTTTTCTGTGTGATTCAGAGTGCCTTTCTTTGCCTATTTTAAATAATATATTTTAAAGCTTCGCTGGATATTTTAAGAGAGAATAAATTCTCTATCCACTTCATATTATTCCATGCATAATTGTATCATATATCTTAATGCTATCCTCCTTTAATAGTGTTTCTTAGAAACAAAAGAGTTGCAAATGTTCTAGCCTAGTATATATTGTATTTCTTTGTAATAACTGTGTCATGTATTTATCAAGCTTGACCAAGGAAGGCTGAAATTACTCATTACTATATCTCTTACTCACTCCAGTTCGTTCTTGTCATAATGGCTGCTTCAAAAATGGGTTGCTAACATTAATACAATTCCTGGGGGGGGGGGAACTTCAGTATATCTTGAGTCCCCACTCTCTAGGCAAGATCATCCCCATAGTGTAGCTGTGGCTTATATAGCAAACCACAATGAAACAAATCATTGTTTCATTGTGATTTGAATCAAGACTTTCAACTACAATTCAAATCAAGGAAGCATAGTTTCTCTCCAGCAGAATATATATATTGGGGTTCTACTGTGTAATTACCATTCAGAGGTAAGACATATGCATCCATCCTGATTAAAACACACACACGTTACTTGTTACGTACAATATTGTATACTGTGACCACATCTCGGCAAACAACTTGGGCAGCTCACAATTCAAAGTTGGAATTCTGTTCAGGCTAATAACAACAATTTGAAGGTTTAGATCAGAAGTGGGAAACCATGGCCCCTTTATGACTTGTGGACTTCAACTCCCAGAATTCCTGAGCCAGCCAATTTTTAGGAGTTGAAGTCCACAAGTCATAAAAGGGCCTTAGTTTCTCACCCCTGGTTTAGATTTAATTCCAGGCAACTTTAGGCAGACTCAGGAAACAACACCAGCAGAGTATTGTTATGTCAAACTGACTTAAGTGGCTGAATTCACATATATCACAAAGTCGGAACTTCCGTTCTGACCAGTCAGCTAGCTGCAAAAGGCCTTCTAAGGTCACCTGAACACCCATGTTAGATTGTGGTTTACTTGTTTGGGAGCAATTAGATAAGATGACCACAACCTCCGAAGTCAAGTGTAAACCACCCCAATCAGCCTTTTTGCTGCCAAAGTTAAAAGCAATCATGGTGCTCTTAGAAGGCCACGCCTGGACGCCGTGGAATCTCTGGCTGTTGGTCACATTATCCTGCATTAAGCCAACGTGATTCATTTCCTATTCCTTTAATATGCTGAATAGCCATTGCAGTTGAGTGCCTATTAGACACGAAATCATGGGTGAGTACAGTATGGCAAGTTTAGAGTGAAATAGAAATCAGGCACCGATGGAAAGCAGCTACCCCGGTGCCAAAGCCGTTTTTCACGATGCTTGGCTCTTCCTAAGAATCGATAGTTGACTTCGCAGACCAGAACCGGCGGTGTTTAGTCTACCCAACATGTCCGGAATGGATGGGATCTAGCACAACGTTTTGCTAGTCTCCCTGCGCTCCCGGATCCCACCCAGCCAGGCCCTGGAAGAACGAGCAAGGTCTCGCGCCTTCTTCCCCAGCGCCGCTGATCATTTCCCCTGTTTCTGCGAGGGGTTCCCCTCCCTGCCGCAGTAAGTAGGCAGGTCCGGAGCAACGTGGCACTCTTCAGTCCCGTCTGCCGACGACGGAAAGAAAACAAAAACTCAAGACCCAAACGTCTGTGCGCTTTAGGGAAAGTTAAGCTCTCGCGGGCCTCGAGCTTCCCGGGGCTTCCGAAGTAGCAACATTTTTGCTCCTGGCTCCGTCCTTCTGCGGCGGCGCGGGCATCCAGGATGCGATCCTGGAAAATCGAGAGCTTTGCCCCGGGGGCCTCCCAGCAGCAAGCCACCTAGCGTCGGAATGCTGGACGTCCCTTCATTCTCGCCGCTAAAGTCCGTGGCTGGGAAGCGCTAAACTGAAGCTTCGATCCCTAGGGGCTGCTGGGCCGGGCTTTCTCTTTTCGTCCACTCTAGAGTTGGGAAGCAAACTTTTTTGGGGGAGCTGTGTGCGCCACTTCCATCAGCATGGGTGAGTTCCTTGTCCGGCGAGGAGGATAGCAGGAGGCGGGCAAGGGAGGACTTCTCTCTCTGCATGGATTCGGTTGGTTCTTTGTAGGGATGGAGGGAGACAATGCAGAGTTCACGTTTGCCTGTAAATTAAAAACAATTCGCCTTTGCAGTTGGCTTCTCTGCTCGCAAATCTCTGTCCTGTATTCTCAGTTGTTTTCCTCTGCCAGAGTAATGAGTTAATATCGTATGTATGTATTTATATCTTGCTTTGCCAAACGCTTTTAAAATTATCTCAAGAAAAAGTGTTTCTTTATCTTGGATTACAGTATTAGGTCTAGGAGCAGAAGCACTAACTCAGGCATCTTCTGTCTGATGCCCCTTGGAAGCATTGAGTTATAGCTGACCAGGAATTATATGAGTTGGGGTCAAATCGCCAGATTGGGAAAGCTGGCTTCACTGAAAGCCAGGAATTCCATTATTAAGATTGGCTGATGGCGCTCACTTTCCTAATCAAGCTGCATTTTTTTACTCTCTCACAGTGCAGAGTTGATAGGATTGGGTCGCAATGCCACAGTCTATTGTGAACTTCTAAGGAAGTAGCTCATCAGACTGCTGTCTAAGACTTGTGTATAGTTCTCTTGGTGCAATCAGCAAATTATAAACTTGCCAACTATATTTTAGCCCAGCGTATTCTGTGAACGGATCCCATGGGATTAATTTACATTTCAGTATATGGTGCAATTCCCAAAAATTGGTTTCATGGAATAATTTATAAGAAAGCAGGGCATGAGAATATAGTCTGCCTCTGATATTCAGATGGTCTTTTGTTGTCGTTCATTAATAAATGTTATACGCTTGCTCAAGAATAAGACCTGCTCTATCAAATGGATTTTGTTTACATGGAAGGCAAGTCCTTTCCTAATCAGTCATCATTTACAGAATAAAACATCTTGCCAGTTATTTCCCCAATTAAATGTGGCCCCTAGTTTAGTCTATCTCTCTAGCACAAATATGTACATGCTAATGTCAGGAAAAGATTTAGTACAACCATTAATCATAGTTCAGTTTGAAATCAATTTGCTCCTGTGTATCAGTTTTCAAAGGCAGCACACTTTATTTCTGTTAAAAATTCACATGGCTTTCTATCCTTTTTATAATAGGATGGTTAGGTGCGGGGGGGGGGGGAGAAATTGAAAGTACTTCAGAGAATACAGGATTGCAACTGTTGACACAATTTTCAAGGATTGATGTTTGAAGGTTAAAGTTCACGGATTGCACCAAGCCAAGTTTGAATAAGACAGGGTGGCCCAATTCACAGGTAAGCTGCAAAATCATAGTTTTCAAACTTCATTGAACTAACTCTAACCCAAGCAAACCACATTGCAGTTTACGATACATGATCCTTGGGTAAAAGAGAAAAAAGTACTTCTTTTTATTCAGTTACCCTCAACCTTTGTAACAGATTGGGCTATAAACTCAATTATAAAATAAATAAAAACTGAAAGCTTTTCAATAGGCATAGAGAAGGGAAACAGCTGCTTTAATGAATAATAGAGAGGCATTGTGCTTGCATCAGGTCTGAATATTTCTTCCAAAACATGTTTGAAGCATGCCTTAAAACAGTTATGTCTGTTCCTTTATTTCTGCTTTGAGCAATTTCTGGATTAACATATGAACTTACATATAGGTATACCAAAACTGTATTATGTATGCCATGACTGATCTGTCCAATCTCTAGCTCCAAACCTTGTGATTACTTTATTTATTAAAAGTTGCACTATTCAGTCTCTGAGCTGTTATTCCTAATTCCAGGGATATACAATCCATTAAGTGTTTCAATTCGTTCCTGCATTCAGACATTTATTTTACAAGTCTTGTATACAGTTCCATCTCTAGGTAGATGATAATAATAAACTAACACAATAAACTTGATAATCAATAAACTGAGTCAGTTTGATACAGCACTTAATTTCTGAATTAGAAATCATAAGACTGTGACTTCTAATCCTTCCTTATGCATAACAACCATATAGGTGACTTTGGACCAGTCTCTCTCTCTCTCTCAGCTCAGTTCACCATAAAAGATTGTTGTGGTGAAAAAAGGAAGAGGGAGAAGTATGTATGTCACGCTGAGTTGCACAAAATAAAGGTGGATAAAAATAAAAAAAAATCTGTAATAAATCTTTAATCATAAAAATAAAGCAACTAAAGATTTAAAAAGTAATTAGATTCAGCCATTAACAAAAGGGAAGGAAACAACAAACATGGCTAAGCGTTCTTATCTTTAGTTTTTTCGTCACTCTATGTGTTGCATACTAAGTTTAGAACAATGTATTTAAATATAGGCCTAGTCCTTCACGAATTACAGTCCAGTTGTCTCAGTCCAAAGCTGGAAGCAATTTTTGTAGAAATGAATGTTCCAGCAGACCAAGAAATCCTTCATATGGAAAAAATAATGCAACAATGAAAGTTCTGCTCATTTATTTGCTCTGATCTACATGTTGTCAATTTGGGGAGGGCAGAAGCAAAGTTAGACATTGAAAGTCTACTAACAGTATAAAGAGATATTATACAAGAATAAGGTTTCTTTTTTTAACAGGAATTTTAGTAGATGAGAATTAAGTTTGAGGCTGTTGGGGACGAGGGAGTACTTAAGAATTACACTCATAGAAAGCCCAGTGACTCTCCTGCCAATTGACCCATCACCTCATATACAATCTATCAGGTTACTGGTATCCTCACCTGAATTCTCATCTACTTTTTCAATAAATTAAATGATTGGCAATTAATCAGTGGAACAACTTGTCTCTAAAAGTTGTGATTATTCCAGCACTGGAGGTTTTTAGCAATAGCAATAGCATTTAGACTTATATGCCACTTCATGGTGCACTATAGTCCTTTCTAAGCAGTTTACAGAGTCAGCATATTGCCCCTAACAATCTAGGTCCTCCTTTTACCAATCTCAGAAGGATGGAAGGCTGAGTCAACCTTGAGCTAGTGAGAATCGAACTGGTAGCAGTCGGCAGAATTAGCCTGCAATAATGCATTCTAACCACTGCTCCATAATGGCTCTTTAAGAAGAGATTGGACAACCATTTGTCTGAAGTGGTACAGGGTTTCCTGCTTCAGCATGGGGGGGGGGGGGGGTTGGACTAGAAGATCTCCAAGATCTTTTGTTATTCTGTTATTACTTATTGTTATTATTCTATTATTATTATTATAAAGTCTGTTATTTTGTTGTTCTGTTATTCTCAGCTGTCTCAATTACAACTCACCACGTTTGGAAACTTCTTCCTCCAAAGACATGTTTATGATGTTGTTATCTTCCTGGTATTGAGTAAATGTTCCCTAAGCTAGAAGAATGGAACCAAATCTGACCAAAGGACTGAATTCTCTCCCTCCATATACTTGGCTGATGTTATGTGAACAGAGGGCTTCTTGGAACAGAAATCCCCTGGGGTATCTGCAGGGAAATAAAATCAACATGAACCCTTTTTCACATGCATTAGAATAGAATAGAATAGAATAGAATAGAATAGAATATTTCCAGGTTTGTGCCCTTAGTGCATGGCCGCGCGAGAGCAGACTGCTCTCCACGGCTAGTTTCGTCCTGCCAGAGGGCCCCTAGATGGGTCCGAAGTCGCCCCGAAGAGGTGACTGTGAAGGAGGGGCACCACATTGATCACGAAGTGATAGCAATCGCTTTGTTTGATCCAGGGGAAGCCCTCTGAACCCGACAGGAGAAAGGCTAGACGCATGCCAGTGTCTAGCCCAAGCTACCTGAGCCAAAGTCCAAGAGCACTAACCAGAACAATGGTGAAAAGCATGCTTGGAATTGGTGAGAGTATTTGATCTTCACTCCCTTATTTTGCAATTAAGTCCCTGGGAAAGATCCCCAAAGCAAAAAACCTCCGAAAATGAGGGGAGGGGATTATATTCACATTCCCCATAGATGGAAGCAGCGAATTAACCTTTAAGGAGGAAAGAAACATATTGAAATTAAATTTAAAATACTACAATCTTAGTATTTTTAGAAACTAAAACAAACTGCTAAGATTATATTCTAAAGGATTTTGATGAAATTATTAAAAAAAGAAAAACAATAAGAACTTCTTGCCTGAAAGAGCTGGAAAACAAATATTTGCTGACATCTAGTGGACAATTAGAATATAGCACATTAAAGACAATGTCCAGAAATAAAGAAAAATCTGTTCCCATGAACTCTAATAACCTTTAAGAAGATAGTTGCCAAGGAACAAAGAAGAGATTGTATACTGGGCCAGCTATAAGATTGGAAAGTGTTTGAAGGAAAAGAAATACTTTGATTGTGGTCTAAACTTATGAATTGTTTAAAAATTGATCTATGACTAATTTTTGAGAGGGAAAGTTACAGGAAGAATTTAAGGTGGCTAAGTATACTGAATTACAATTCTGACTGGTTGACAATTCACTCCTGAAAGAAAGAATTGTTATAAAACATTGATTTTACTGAAACCTTGACAATTGAAAATTACAGTGGATTATAAAAATTATATATAAAGAGAAGAACTATACTGTTTGGACTGTTTGGATTTTGAGTTCTGGCCAGCTTGAAAAGGCTGGCCAGAACTCAAAATACAGAGATTATGGCACTTATGATAGATTACTCAAAAGGGAGAGACAACATGGATATGACATATTCATCAAAAAATGATAGAAAGCCACACTTAAATCTACTCTTGAAGGATTCAACTGGAAAGATCAAAGACCTCTAGAACCAACATTTCAAGACAAGACAAGACAAATACTTTCCAAGAAGAAAGAAGAAGAAAGAAGAAATTTATGCAATGCTATGACAGATACAAATCACAATAGCTCTAAACCATGAGATTAAGCACAGCTTTGATAACATAAATGAATACACTTCTAATTTAAATCTACAATCAAAAAACATTCAAAGAATGATGGTAAAGAATGAACAAACAAATCAGATAACAGAATGTGAACTAGAAAAAAATGACTTAATTGGTGAAGTCACAGATGAAGGGAATTATAACTTAATACAAACAAGAAAAATCTGGATTTGGATTTGGATACAAATATGGAAAAGATACCTTACGCATTAGAACGTCAAAATAAACCTGAGAAGAAAGAAGACTTAACAAAATGGACACTACTAGGAGAATCACTGTTTGGGAGACAAAAAGCATATATCTTACGTATTATGTATCCTCTACGCCTAACAACAACTACAAAAATACAAGAACTGTTTAACAAGTTGAAAATATTAATTTGGAAAATAATTTGGCAAAGGAAGAAGATTAGAGACAGGCTTAAGAGACTCGACTCACCCTACAGATGGAATATTATACGAGCAAACACTTGTTTGAATATGGCTAAATAAACAAATAACTTTGGCTTTAGAATAAGTGGGGTAAGAGATATAAGTAATATGGTATTTTTTGATAAGATACAAAATGTAAAAATATTGGGATGATGAAAGTGAAGGAAAAGTTTGAACTTTAAAGACAAATTAAGTTTGAAAAGATTTAGTATTAAGGAAGGATTGAAATATTGAGGGGAAATTAAGCTTAATAAGAACTTTGAAAAAAGGAAATATAGTGATTTAATTAATTTTTACAAATAGAAGTAAAATATAAATTGATTAGAAAAGATGTTATAGTTAGATGTTATGATAGATAAGTAGTATAGTATTTCTGTAATATATGAAATATGAAAATACTGGGATGATATATTTAAGTGGAAAATTTGGATATTTAGATGTTAATTATTGAGAAAATTATGATTGATAAGAATTGTTTGAATATTATGGAGAAATTAAGTTTAAACAAGATCTATGATAATAAGATATATGGTGAATCTATAAGATGACTTTTACAAAATTAAGTTGATAAGGAAAAAATGCTATATATGGACGCTATTATTGTTGGTAGGGTATTTCAACATAATATTAGAAGGGGAAAGTCAATAAAGGTGATGCACTAAAGACAGCATAATAAATGCAATTTTAAGATATGTTTATTATTTTTATTTATTTACTTATTTATTAAGTTTGCTGCACATTTCTTCAATTAACAAAAAAGTCAAACAAAATTATCTAGTTCCCTAAAAGATAGTGTTAAAATACCTGCTTCTTTACCCTTTGATAGAAAAAAATGAAGATAGGCAAAAAAAAATTGTATCACTTCATTGCTGCAAATTGGGTGTAGCTTTATGCATCTAGTGTATAATGCTTTAAAAAATCGAAGGAGGACCCGTAAAATATAGTATGATAAGTTAATCGATGATGCCAAATGTGTAAAAGACTGGTATAATCAGGCTTTTTTTGTCATAGAAAGCCAGAACAGAGTTCCGGCACCTTTTTTGGATGGAACCTTGTAGGGTAGGCAAGGGGGTTTGTATGACATGTGTGAGTTCCGGCACCTTTTTTTTTTTTTTAATACCCAAAGCATTGGGTATAATCATAACCATTGGGTGTGCTAGCTGAAGTGTCTCGCATAAGAAATTTAGATCAACAAGTTGGCAGTCTGGAAAGCATCTCATTGCAATTCTTTGATGTGATTTCCAGCTGGACAAGTACATTCATGCTATGATTCATGTTTTTAGGATCTTTACTCATCTAAATTTTTTTTAAAAAAAAAAAACCCTGCTGAGTTGAAAAAACAAGATTGCTTTCCAGCTTCCTGGGTTTCTATTACTAAGAGATCAAGTTTGGTCTAATGCAGCGGTTCTCAACCTATGGGTCGCAACCCCATTTGGGGTCGATCGACCATTTTTCGGGGGTCGCCAAAGGCGGCGATCCGCCATTTTCTCCCCTCCGGGGGCGGCGCCGCACATGCGTGCCGTGCATGGGGGCGGCGGCGCGCCTCCGGGGCGCCGCCGCGCATGCGCGCCGCACATGGGGGCGGTGCTGCGCATGCGTGCCACGCATGGGGGGCACCCCCATGCGCGCCATGCCGCGCATGCGCATAACGTTTGTGTGACGGGGTCGCCGTCACACAAACGTTGAGAACCGCTGGTCTAATGGTTAAGGCACCAGGCAAGAAAGTGGGAGAGCCCGAGTTCTAATTCTACCTTAGCCACGAAAGTCTGCTGGGTGATCTTGCGCCAGTATCTCTTTGCCCAACCCACCTCACAGGTTTGTTATTGTGGAAAAAAATATCAGGAGGAAGGTGTGATGGATATGTTTGCTGCCTTGATTTGTTTGAAAAAATAAATCAAGGATAAAAACAAACAAACAATCTGTGCGATATGCTTGAAAACAAATATACGTAACGTTGGACTGTAAGGATTGGATCTAGATCAAGTCAATTGTTTTAGTTCCAGTATATTGAATGTTAAAAGTTAGTCATTGCAATGTTTCTGCTTATTGCATGCAGAACAATCAGAATAGAGTTTCGATCCAGATTTAAATATTTTGTGAATGAAAAATAATGTTTTATAAATATTCTCTGTAAAACAGAAACTTTGATTCACTAAACAGAGTCCTCTGGTACTGTGACATTCATTAGTATGACACTAACATGTCAGTGGCTGTTAGCATGCTAATAGGAGCTGATGTGTTACATTATGCTGTTCATAATAATGTATAGTAAACATTGCCCTGCTGGATTGGGCACCTATCCCATCTAGCCTAGCAATCTGTTCTCATAATGACCAACCAGCTGCTCAAGGAAGCCCCCTAGTTTCCAGCAAATAGTTTTCAATGGCAATAACACTGTTTTACAATCTGCTGCTAGGGAATTTGAAATTCAACTTCTGCACAACACTCAGGGTATATCTATCATAGAGACTAGAACAGGGTTAGGCAACCTTGGCTCTGTTATGACTCGTGGAGCTATGCTGGCTCAGGAATTCTGGGAGTTGAAGTCCAGGAGTCATAAAAGAGCCAAGGTTGCCTACCCCTGGACTAGAAGATTAGACCAAAGCTATAAATATTCCCACTCAGCCCTGAAGTTTGCCAGGAGACAGTTCTTGTCTCTCTGCCCAGCCTATTTTACAAGATGGTTGTGAAATAAAATGAATTGTTACAGTGACCACATGTCCTTCAGATTTACTTAAATTTCAAACATTCACATTTATCTTTTATTTTTGTCATTTAACATTTATGATATAAATGGTACCACAATGCCCAAGCTTTCACATTCATATGAAAAAAATAAGAAACTGAACTCTTTTTTAAAAATAAATGTACATATACTCTTTGATTTTAAATATTTTAATATGCAGTTGTAGTTTTTCTTGGTTTGCTCTTGAACTTGCCCTTATAAAGCAAACATAAGCAATGAAGAGTTTTTATCTTCACGAACTTCTTTCAGATTTGCTCTTTTTTCAGGTTTGTCCTTTGTTTTTTTCCAAGAAAATATGTTCACTATAATTATGGTGAGATAATTGCTACCTTCTACTTTTACAAGAAGGCCACAGTATAAATAAATGGTAAATACAGATTTGTAGTTATACAGAAGGAATCCCTTCAGAGCAAAATATTCACCCAAATAATATATCCTTGTTTTTCCTTAAGATGTTGCTATGCTTACTTTGATATAAGACATGCTGCATACTATCATGATCTAGGTACATGTCTATGGAGATTCTTAGTCATTCAGATCATGGTTGTCATGCTTTTTCATGAGGCAACTGGACTTTCTTTTTTCTCTTTGAAGTTGTTTTGCTTCTCATCCAAGAAGCTTCTTCAGCTCTGACTGGATGATGGGGAATGGAAGGATTGATATTCCTTGCAAACAGCTGGTCATTTGCATTCTTTTAACGAGTCGTTGATGCTACCTAGAGGTTTATCTGTGTTGTCAGGGTCACCTGAGTGGTGCAAATGGATGTGGAGCCTTCTTGGAATTTTTGAGAGGACTGTGTTGCAGACTGAAGATAGATGATGTTGTATCCCTCCCTCTCTGTTGAGAGAAGGATGTTCTGTTTTGACATAGATGGCCTCTTTGACCTCTCTTTCAAACCAGCGGTCCTCTCTGTTCAAAATGGGACCATCTAGATACAATTTCAGGTTCAGATTGAGGCCTAGAAAATCTTCAAAACTCAACGTTATTTATTTTTAATAATTTGAAAATAACAGCCATATTTCCAGGAACCAATGGAATGTTCAAAATACGTTGCAGAGAGCAATGTACCAAATCTGGTTACAGTACTGTTTTCTGCCCTAGCGGGTTTTTCATGTTTTCCAACACTGAGTCATACTTCTGTGACTCTTGCAAAACTCTTGTTTTACTGGGCTGTGACATAGGTTCTCCCTAATACCACTCTTCCCCCCAAAAGAGTATTTTGCATTTCAGAAAATTCTGCCATTTCTGACCTCAGAACATTGACATTCAGATTACTTTTAGTAGATAGGGGAGATAGGTAGGCTCTTAAAAAATCACAATATCATTAGATGAACATGCTGATGTATTGGAGACTATTAATCCTGGATTGACTTTATATATAAAACAATATTAACAAAGTTTGCTTTCAAACGTGATGTAGTTTATAACAGGGGTCTGCAACCTTGACAACTTTAAGACTTGTGGACTTCAGCTCCCAGAATTCCTCAGCCAGCTATGCTGGCTGAGGAATTCTGGGAGCTGAAGTCCACAAGTCTTAAAGTTGTCAAGGTTGCAGACCCCTGGTTTATAACGTTGAAGTTATTCCTTGTAGGCTATACCAACTTAAAGAAGAAGTTCTCTCAGATCTCACTCTTGTTCTTATTCTCAACTTCCAGGACAAGCATTGTTCATCCTCCTGTTGACATCAGCAATCTCACTCTTTGGAGGACTGATCTTTGGATATGAACTTGGAATCATCTCAGGAGCACTGTTGCAGCTGCAGGTGGTTTTCCATCTTCGTTGTATTGAACAAGAAGTCCTCGTGAGTGCCTTACTCATTGGAGCTCTCATAGCTTCTTTGGTTGGAGGAATCTTTATTGACCGGCAGGGAAGACGGAAAGCAATATTGGTCAGCAATGCTGTTTTGCTGTGTGGCAGTCTCATTCTGACACTTGCTAGGTCACTTATTTGGCTGGTGGGTGGACGACTGACTGTAGGTTTTGCCATTTCTTTATCATCTATGGCATGCTGTATATATGTCTCTGAAATGGTGGCTGCCCATCAGCGAGGGCTATTGGTATCCCTCTATGAAGCTGGCATCACCATGGGCATCTTACTTTCATATGCACTGAATTATATCTTTACTGACACACCTGAGGGATGGCGATACATGTTTGGCTTGGCTATTGGCCTGGCAGTCATCCAGTTTGTCAGCATCCTGTTCCTCCCCAACAACTCCAGGACTTTCAAGGTATACTACAGTATGACTCATAGTAACCTCATTCAATCTTCTAAGAATGAAGACGGTGAAGACATAATATTGCCATGCCCCATGGAAAAGAATTATTCCCATGTAGATCTTTTCAGATCAAAGGACAATATGAGAAACAGGACTTTTGTTGGCCTAGGATTGGTCCTCTTTCAACAGTTCACTGGACAGCCCAATGCCCTCTGTTATGCATCTACTATTTTCCGTTCTGTGGGATTTCAGACTGAGTCCTCTGCTATCCTAGCCTCTGTTGGTCTAGGGGTGATGAAGGTTATTGCAACTCTGTTTGCCATGTTTTTTGCAGATAAGGTTGGCCGAAGGGTATTATTGATGGCTGGATGTTTGGTGATGGCTTTTTCAGTTATGATTATTGGCCTGGCCAGCTGCTCTGTTCCATTAGTTATGATTAAAGACTGTGAAACACTCATAGATTCAAACAATACTTCCTTCAATTCACCTCATCTCCACATAAATCCAGTGTCTCCCCAACCACCTGCTTCCTATTTCTTATTGACAAAAGATACTAGTGAAATACAAGTTGAATCAACTTTTGCTATCATGAGACCAGCAGTCAAAACGCTTACCAATAATAAAAGTAGGGAGAAAAGGGCAACCATTACATTAGAAAATGAGCAAACCCAATTTCTCATCCAGTCGGTGGAAGAAAAAGAAAGGGATACCAATTCTTCAATCAGTGGGGCATCTTCCAAGGGACACATGCTCCTAAACTGGATTACACTCCTGAGTTTGATGGCCTTTGTAAGTGCATTCTCAATTGGATTTGGACCAAGTAAGTATCTTCCTGGTTTAATATTTCTTATCCTAGGTCCCTCTTACATAAATGGACCTGTCTATGCATGGATGTGTTTTGAGTCTTACTAAGTAGTTTATTGTGTTTGTTTGTTGGGCTTCTGTGCTGCCCAATCAGTTTGGCTCTGAAATGGCCTACAATTACTCCTTACAGTATTATAATTAGAGTATAGTTGTGTATGCCATAATGGAATAAGTGCAGTAAGACCTTTGATTCACAAATCTATATATGCAAACTATAAATGCATTTGTGGTTTCAGCAGGAGTTCCTATTCTTCATTAGAATACTCCATAATAAAAAGAGTCAGGACTGGGGGGAAAGAGTGTTCATCTTTAAAAAAAGAATAAGCCAGGAAAAGAACTCTTAATTTTCAGCCATTAGCCCCCTTAATCAAATTTTATAGGGCTTATTCTGGCTAAACATGAATAGGCTTTTGAGTGGATAATGTTCTGATCTTCACAAAGCCGCTTCACTTCAGAGCTGATTTTAGACCAGGATAGCAATCTTGTGGCCAGGAGCTTCATTTAGAAATAACAGAAATGAAACCCTTGGCTTCCAAAGGCCACAAGGTTTATGGCAGGTAACATGAGAAGTTTGAGGAGGGGGTTATATTAAAATTCCATTACTCTGCAGAAAGACAAGCAGCAAGTTTGTCCAAGTCCCATTCTGGATATATTTTGGGAACTCAAAGAAGTTGGGACCGGGCACATATGAATCTATGGTTTATGCACCTACAGTATAGTATGTCTTGGACTACTGCTCTGTCTCACTTTAAACTGGACATGCTAACGACAAGCTTTCTCCTATGCTTTGCAGCTAAGCTAAGTGTCTAGTTTTGTTCCATTCAATCACTGGAGCTCTTCATACACACACACACACACACACACTTTCTGAGAGAGTTCCTTTTACCTATCTGTTCCAGGAAGTAAGAACTGTATTAAAATGTTATTTACATACCCAGTTAAGCAAATATAACTATGGAAAATATACATCTTCCAATTTATAATGCCACAGTTTGCAAATAAAACGTCAATATTATCAGTTGAGGCATTAATACTACAAACACTGACCCCAACCTATTTTGTATGCCTGCTTCAAATACTTAGAAGTTACCTGAATGAAAGAGGAACCTGTATTAGCCAGTTAGAAGCCCTAGAAAAGATTATTTAATCAGGTGAGGTTTGCATTTGATTAAAAGAAAAGTATTATTTTAAGTTGAAGATCAGACTAGCTGGTTTTTACTGACTGACAATTTAATTGATTAATGTGATTTCTGCGTATTACTACTCTTCCTTTCAGAAGCAAACAGAGTAGTTTACAAAAATTTTAAAAACAGTCTTAAATATTTTTTTTATTTTTTATTTTAATAATTTTTTATTTTTCCAAACTCTCCCCCATACATATACCATAATATTTATCAGATGTTAACATACATTCTTTTTACATTCATATATAAGATACTTTTAATAAAATGAAATAAATACATACACATGACTTTTGGTGTTGCTCGCTCATTTCCCCTTTTACCGTATCCACACTCTTTCTTTTCCACCTTCTTTCTCCCTTTCTTCTCTTCCCTACTTCCCTCTTCTTCCTCTCCTCTCCTTCACCACTCTCCTCCCCTTTCTCCCCACTTCTCCTCTTCTCCTCCAACCTTCCTACTTCCTTCTCCCCTCCTTTACTCTTTTCTCTCTCATCTCCTTTCTTCCCTCTCATCCCTCTTCAGATACAATTCAGGGGTAATGTCCGAGCAACTCCTCTCTCCAAATTTCCCTATCTGTATTATATACAATAAGATTAATACTTTTATTTATCTAACCTTCTCGGTATATACTTCTATAAACATTTATACAACCTCCAGTTATTCAATACTGTGTCACCTGGGTTTCCCTCCTTATCTGTTCCTTCTTCTTCCATCTAAATTGATATTAACTATCTTTTAACTGTATTCTCTTTTCAGCCAGTCATAAAAAGTTCCCCAGATTTCATAGTAGTCTGAAAAACAGTCTTAAATAAAGCTGTCATATTAAAACCAGAAATGTTTAAAAACCAATAAATACAAACTTTCAAACACATTTAGTTTTGAAAAAAGGAATAAAAAACACTGGTCATCTTACAGTGAATCTATTCCTAGAGTAATTGTTATCTCATAAATTGTTGGATGAATAGACATGTCTACAATTATTTTCGGGAAGATAGCATAGGAATTAGCTGAACATCTTTCTGAAGTTCCATAATTGGAATGCTATAACTAAGTACTAAAAGTGCTGCTGCAAGGCATTGCCCGTGAACTGATCTTATTGGTGGAACCACAAATAGAGCTTTTATCTTCATTATTTGAGCCAAGAAATTCCAGAAAGGAATTGATACAAATTTCAATTAATGAATCTTATATTGACTTGTACATTATTTTATACTATTTGTCAGTTCTGCCATCTTTGGCTCCATGCCTCACTGGCATCCTGCCATCGATAGCTAAGAGGGAGAGAGGGAACAAATGGGCAATAAACATGTATTGAGCTACTGCTGGGAAATTGGGAGGAAGGATTGACAGTTGAGGAAGAACAGAGATGCTTTAAACCGGTGTGCTAATCTTCAAGGACAATGAGAGGCCGAAGATGCTTGGGAATGGAATGCTGATTGCTCCAAACACTGAATGTTCCCAAAGCACTTAGTCACTCACCCATTGGTTGGAAATGGACTGGTCAAGGGAGGGAGGGTCAGATTGAGGGGAAAAGCCTGTATGCTTTTGCGCAGGAAATTTAGTTCTAGCCTGGCTTTACTGCAACCAGCACCCCTTAGCAAAAGAGCCTATCACTTCAAACCCAATTGGAGTTGAGGATCTTTCTTTCCTAAGAGGCGATCTAGCTGGGCTAGGCCTGACACTCTTCATTAATCCAACCATTTACCATGGTCAGTTTGTTGATCTTTCTCTTGCTAATTTCCTTTGAAAGGAAGCAGACTATTCATGTGCTTGACAAAGCTGCCTTTAATCCACAGGTGCACTCCAGTATAATGCATTCATCGGCCCACCTTATTGTTGTTCTCTTGAACAGGGGTATCCAACTGCCGGCCCATGAGCCAGTTGCATCATACAGAGGCCACACCCACCCCAACTCCGGCAATGCAAAAAAGTCATGATACATCGTGACACGTCATGTGACATGGCGAGTTTGACACCTTTGCTCTAGAACAGTGGTTCTCAACCTTTTTAATGCTGTGACCCCAACCGGTCGTAAGTCGAGGACTACTCAACTGGTCGTAAGTTGAGGACTACTCAACTGGTGCAGCACCGTTTGCAGAATGGGACTTTTGGCAGGCTCAGCAGGGCAGAGACAGCCTGGACAATTCCTATTGGCTTTTGAAAGCCAATAGAATTAGACTCTATTCAAGAGAGTTTATTCTATTGGCTTTCAAAAGCCAATAGAATAAAAGGGAGTAGCACAGCTAAGGAAAAGGGGAAAAAATGGCAGACTGCGTTATTTGGCGACCCCCGTGAAATGGTCATTCGACCCCAAATGGGGTCCCGACCCACAGGTTGAGAACCACTGCTCTAGAAGATGGATTAGAACTGTACCTCCCAGAATTTCTAGCCATTAGGGTCCTGCTTAGTTTTTAAAATTACATGGGACACTACTGTATTTACTAATAATGCACCTAATATGGTTTTCCAGAATGAAGAGCAAAGACTCCTAATTTGAATTGACATCTGAAGACTACATGTCCATGTCCATATTGTTTTATTATCAGTGAGATGGAAGTTATTTTGCATTGCCTTTTGACATTTTTTATTAGTTCCCAGTCTACTCCAGAAATTGAATTTAGTTACAAACTACTTACCAGGTCCTACTCTGCTCAGCTTCTTTAGGATTAGCCAAATTCATCTAGGTACTGCAACCTATTGTAACAAGTAATGGAGAAGCTTATTTTTTTGTTTTAATTGTTCCAGTTACTTTACAATTCATGAAAATGTCTGTCTTGCCTGTTGTGTTTTCGGTTCGTTGGCAATTGATGAAGACACATGGTGAAAACAACAAGCTCTTTATTTCTCTCTCCTACAACCAAGCCAACAGCAAAAGGCACGCAGGCCTTTTATAGTGCCTGAAACCCGGACAGTGTGAACCAATAGGAATTGACCATTTTCGTGCCTTGCGCATGCGCACAAGACTGGCACCACCCTGTCTGGTCCCGTGCAGCTTTTGGATTGCCCGGGACCATTTGCAACAATTCTGAGCCTGCTTTCAGCTCTTGCAGGCTCAGGACACAACATTGCCCACTCGCAATCCGTATACATAGAATTTTCTAAACAGTATATTACCTATCTTTTCAATGTTTCTTGTAAAAAAGTAACATGCATGTGCAAATATGTATTTTATGTTTTAAACATATTGAGTTTAAAAGTCTGTTTAGGAGCAAGAGTAGTAGGGGTATTAATCATAATAATAATAATCTTCAGTATGTCTCTTCATATCTTAGCTATTGAAGGATTCATTGTGTTTAACTTGAAGCTTCTGAATAATTGCATCTTCCAACTCAACAGTTCAAGCTTTCTTTTTATAATATCTTTCCCATTCCAGTTTCTTGTTAATGGTTGTACAAAATATTGCTTATGATTTGTTTCTTTCTCTCGCCTAATTCCACTCGCTTTCCTTTCTCCTCCTGCAGTGACATGGCTTGTACTCAGTGAGATCTATCCAGCTAGCATACGAGGAAGAGCTTTTGCATTCTGCAATAGTTTCAACTGGGCTGCCAATTTACTGATCAGTCTTACATTCCTTGACCTCATTGGTATGTATAATATTGGCTTGTTGTTGACATTCTTTGCTGCTGATAATCATAGCAGAGCTGATAATAGGGTGTATTTAGACCAGTGTTTCTGGTCTAAACTCCCAATTCTGGGAGTTGAAGTTCATATGCCTTAAAGTTGCTGAGGTTGAGAAACTCCGATCTAGACCCAACAAAGGGTCACCGCCTTTGTTTGAGGATTTTGTCTCCTTTTTATTATATCATTTCTGGAGTCACAATCAGCCATATATAGTCGCTTGAATGTTAAATTTAGACTGAAGAAAGCTAGACTCAAATCTCTGCCAAACCAGAAAACTCAGTTCAAGGTAGTCTTAATGTACTCTAAGCTAGAAGTCATGGTGCTTCTCATGATTTTCTTGGATGGACAAAAGTAACATTTAAAAGAAGATATCATAATGGTGTTATTAGAAGGAGAAAAAATCCAAAATCCATAGCTAGATAATATATTTATTAGACAATATGATATTTTCTTAACAAAAGAGCAAACAAATGTTTATATGCTCCAGAACACAGCATCAGAGGAGAAAATACTAAGGCTGCAGAAGAAGGGGGAAAATTCAAAATTACACCAAATGTTGTGGTTTGCCATTTCGTGTCATTCTCAAGAGTGGGATTGCAGACTGAATGTATTAAGTCACTAGCTGAATTTTAAACTAAAAAATTACAACTACTAGTCTGAAACTAAGAAACAGCTGTTGACCCAGACTTATGCAACCCCAGGTCTGAAATTTAAAAAGCCAGTTGTTTCCTATTACAAAAGTAAAGACAATTCTGAAGCTAATGCGAAGCTACTTCTGAAGCTTACTTGAAAAAGTAAGATTATAATCTATCTGATTTTATGAGGTTGATGGAGATTCTCAATCATTCAGGTCATGGTTGAAGGAGAAACTATAGAAGCAAAACATTTTCAAAGAACTAAAAAAAAAAAACAAGAAAGTCCAGATGCCTTTTAGAAAAGCATCTTTTGAAAAGCATCTTTGGAAAGGTTGCATTTATTCAGTTAATTTAGCTAGTTTAGACATTGTTTCTTTCAGAAGTTTTTAGAATTATTTTTGTGTTTGGGTAATATTTTAAAATGCTATAAAATATTTCAAGTATTGCCAAATATTTTAATCCCATAAATATTATGTCAGCACTTATTTGTAGCTCAGATATGTATTAGTTTGTGTGTCATAGAGAAAGGCCATCTGGTTCTGCTGTTAATAGTAAAACCCATCTGAGAAGTATTTATGGCAATTGTCCATCTCCAAGATACTAAAGGTGGAGAAATACTGCAAAACCATGCTGTTAATGTTTTTAAAACCTTTTATTATTGTTATTACCTCATCCTTGAGAATGTTTATAATCAAAATGCTATTAACTCAATTTAATTAAAATGACTGGCACCTTTTACAATGCATCTATTATTGAAATAATGCCCAGATGAAACTTCTGATCTTGCTGAATGCATAAGCCTAATAAAGTATAAATTTACTTTTGAAAGGAAATTTTGCAGCTCCTTTTAAGTAGCGTTTGGTAAGCTACTGATTTCATGACAGCCTTTATCTATCCCAGCAAATGTGGCATTATGTCATGCGTTGATTTTGTAATATTTCTCTATGCAGATGTCATCGGCTTGTCGTGGACCTTCTTTTTCTATGGACTGGTGGGATTGGCGGCTGTACTATTTATTTATTTATTTGTACCAGAAACCAAAGGACAGTCTCTGGAAGAGATAGACCATCAGTTCTCAAAGAAGAGGTATGTCCTAGAGAGCTTTGGCCACAATAGTTGTCACTGCTAACATTGAACAATGCAGAAGTATTTTGCTCATATCATAGAGAATATAAAGCAGGGCATAGTAAATCCATAGTGATCTCCTCCTTGTTTTGGCAGGTTGCTGCAAAGGAATATATGCTGGCACAAACTGTGGAACAGAAGAGAAATCTATACACGTGTTCAATATCAAAGACTAGACTATTCTAATACTTCCTGAAAAAGGAGTCATAATTCATGACAGGACACAATGATTACCTATATCATTCTGGAAGTTTTATGGTGACTTTGCCAAAGGAAGAAATTCATGAAAATCTTGTATTTATGTAATTAGAATAGAATAGAATAGAATAGAATAGAATAGAATAGAATAGAATAGAATAGAATAGAATAGAATAGAATAGAATAGAATAGAATAGAATAGAATAGAATAGAATAACAGAGTTGGATACTTTTATATATTTTATAAATATTTGATAAATAAAGTATATTTGAGTCTATTTGATTGGATAGTTTGACATGAAATACTATTTTTTTCAACTTGATGGATTTTGGAGGAGATGCATTTGTATCTCCAATACCATTTATTAGAGAAAACCTCCTCCCTCATCTATTTTCCAATACCTCTTTCAGTTATGAGTGAGTAGTATCCTCTCTCTCCAGACAGTTGTGATCTGATTATGCTAAAGAGTAAGGAAATTCTGACTTTTTAAAGAAATCAGACAGTAGAATGTCAGGAAAAAAACCACAAAAAATTATAGAATCATCTCATTGCTTGCATAGACTACATATGACCAACACTGTGATTATATTTTTAATTTCCATAGAAACAAAAATAAACACTAACTTCACTTTGCTCTGCATTCCATCTCAAAATGAGCTATTATTATGACCTAAATATAACAAAAGAGTTCCTGCACTTTTTAAATTCATTTCTGACTAATGTAAAACATTAACCAGCCTGTCAAATGTATTTCACTGTATTACTTTGTGAGTGAAGGAGTGGCTTAGATAGTTATGCAATCAGGATGAAACGGTACAGCTCAAATTATGGTTTATAGCAGCCAGCATGCAGCATGGTGACAGAACTTAGCAACATCCTGTTCTTGTCTCTTGCCGTTTGGTCTATTCTTGGAATCCCTGGTCAATCCATGGGACCAGGTAACTCCAGTGTGTGAGATGCTACTGATTCAGGACCCTCTAAATCTATTGAAGTAAGATAATTTATTTTAACGTATAAATCTGGCATCATGTGGGATTTTATGTTTATTTTATGATTTACACTTCACTGCTATCTATTTCTGGTAAACTTTTATTTGTAATTAGACTGGAAAAGGTTGATAAGGATTTCTTTGCATCTCTAAGGGATCGATTCTCCTCCTTCTTCTGTACTAAAATGTACAGAATCATTTATGGTGTTTATGGGTAAATAATAAAAGTAAGCTGTATTGGCTCTCATCCCCAAGCAGTCAAGTAGCTTGCACTTTTAGAAACTTTCTCACTCTATGAATAAAGAAAAGGGGTGATGACAGCCTATTTCAGTGTCTAAATAAGTGTTTCTCAACCTTGACAATTTTAAGGCATGTGGACTTCAACTCCCAGAATTCCACAGCCAGCATTGCTGGCTGTGGAATTCTGGGAGTTGAAGTCCACATGCCTTAAAATTGACAAGGTTGAGAAACACTGGTCTAAATTCTATGCCTCTTAGCATATCTTACAGAAAAATTGAGACAGATTAAAAAACCTCACTCTTCTGTTACCTATTGACTAGCAATGGGATACAAATTAAAGGTGAAAAGCTAGCCCAAAATTACCTTGGGAAAAAGTGAATGCATATCTTCATTAAAAATGGTTTTTCTAGCTAGAACAGAAGCTGAAGAAAACATGATGACTGGATGATAGAGCCCTAGAGAAGGAACAGAAATCAGTGGAGAAGTTGAAGTTGTTGCCATTTCATCCATCCTTCAGATGACCAATTTAAGCCACTTTTAACAACATAATTTGGTTCAAATATTATTCTCTGTTAAAATTGCAATCAACTAAGTAGCCTTTATCATACAGGGAACATAACTGATGATAATATCAGAAAGAAGCAATTGGTATGCAGCTAGAATTCTAACTTTAAGAAAGCAGAACATTCTTTTGTGATTTAAGCATAAGTGGGAGGTGAAGTATCCTTTTTGTTACAGATGTTAACAGAAGCACTCATTTGTCATGAAGTTCAAAAAATAACTATGAATACACAAAAAAATGGGATCTGAGATGAAGTGGCAGCTATCTTGTATCCAGTACTTGAATTAAAAAAAAAAAAAAACAACTGGGAGATTTCCCAGGGGAATAATATCAGCCTTGGTTGGGAATTGTGTTTTAGAATTTATTTTTCAGACCTGCTGGATACAGATTTCTCAGATAAAGTTCAGGTGCCTCTTGTTGTTCCACTTTCTATGTTATAATCTCTGCCACAAAGCTTAACTTCGGTTATTAAGGGAAATACAATGTAATGCGAACTCCTTATTCAAAGTTTTACTATATTTCTGAGTAAAAGTGACAAAAGGAATAATCTGAGAAAAAAATGCTGCTTTCTATACTCAAAGCCTCTTTGGGGTAATTCTGCAGAAATTGAAAAGCAATGGTGACTTTACAAGGCAACTTTTTGCTTTTTTGGCTTGTGACACATGGAATACTAATATCCCACCCTTTCATATCCCACATTTAAAGCATAGGACATACTTACTGTATGCTTGTATAAATTGTTATGCAACTTTTTTTATTTCATGCAGAGTAGGGAATCTAAGCCTTCTAGATGTCCTGAGCAGTTCTGAGCATCTCTCATTATTGACCACGCTGGCTGAGCTTCTGGAAACATCTGAAAGATCATATGTTTCCCACTTCTACTTTAAATGCATCAGATGCAAAGGAGAACCAGAATGTTATGCAGTTCTTATTTCCTAATTAGTAAAAAGTTGTAAGAGAAATACTTTTAAAATTTGGATTCCTTTTAAATGAGTAATCTCTGAAATATATGGTCTTTCTGTAATACTTTATTCATAAGAACAGAAGTAGAGTTTAAGAGCAATATTTAGAATAATGCTTTTTTAGATATTGATAAATATTTATTTATTTAAGTTAATTTACATGGCTCCTCACATTACGCTAATGATTTAAGGTGCCCTCTGCCCAATCATCTGTGAACTGGAAGCAATCATCTGAAGCTCTGTAGCCACCAATCATGTGCAATCATGTAATTAAGGAGCTAAGAAAATTGGGGAAAATCTCTTTGGCAGAGCTAGTGGATGCAACACTGGGCTGTAAAGAGAGACAGCTGAACAGTGCCTCCTTTGTTACTATTGAAATGCTTTTTATTAGTGGGGTATCAATGGATGCCATCCTAAGGCATCCACATTTCAAACAGATTGCTATACATCTCAAACATTACTTTCAAGGAAGAATATATCTACTACACTTCCTAACTCATTAATTTGAGATTTCCTTAATAAAAACATACAGCCTTCACTGGTTTGGTACATTTAGCACTCTATCCACATTGCTCAGGCAAAATATTGGTAAAATAGCCTAATGCATGGTAGGTTAATTCAAGATGAAGATTTCAACTCCTTTCTTCAGAACACTGGTCTAGTAAGCAACTAGAAAGCGTAATCAACTTTTTCTCTCAAGGACAAAAGAACAGTACCTATTATACATTTGATTTTCAGGTAATTAAGCACATTCTTTAAGATTGGGAAACCAAGATTGTTTTGGACTTTATTTCTTTTGTTAATGAATTTACTGGAAGTTGGTATGATTTATCGGATGGTATAGTGGACAGTTAGATTATAATAGATTCAAATTGTCTACCAGTAATAAACATGAATAATTGATAATTCACAGGATTCATACAAAGGCTGCCTTGTTAGGAAAAAGAGTATCATTAATATATTGCAAATATATTAGAGTATCCTTAATATATTGTGAATTCAGCAGGCATAACATATGATTCTACTATATATTTAATATGGCACTACTATATATTTAATAAGGCACAAAGCCATGCCTTAATAATTATTACATCATCCCAATTGGTTTTAGTTCATTTGCTAGCATTTTGAACTGGAGTGCAATCTGAGGTACTAATATCAGTTTAGATGAAAACTAACTCTGGGTTTCCCAAGATGTTACACCCCAAGAATTCTTCCACTGAAGGATTAAGACTTCTCTTAGGTTGCCCAAAAGATAATGAAAATAGTGAAGTAGGATGTGAGAAGTACATTTGAAAGGAGTTCACGAATGGAATGTGGAGAAGAACACGAAAGGAGTGAAACTAATTTCTGCTAATTCTCAGAGGCAAATGATATCAAGAAGAAAGTGAATGGAAGATTGGGATATAAGACCCTTGACAGCCTGGTGAGAGAGGGGCTGGGAGAGTTTGGGTTGTTATAAATCTCCTTTGGAACAATGCATTATTGTTTTGGTCGTGACTACCTGGTCAAAAGAACAATTACAATGTATAATATTATTTTTATCTTGATTTGTATTGTTTGTTTTAATTCCAATTACTTATTGGTGAGTAATACACATGCTCAGAGTTGACTGACTGGAATGGCTTATAAGCACTATAAATAATTAAACAAACAAACAATTTCAAGCATCACACTAATCCCAAAGTAATTAGATACGCTCTAGCATGTTGTGTAAATCAAGTCTGCTTGTTTTAGAACTGCACATTTAATTCCCTTATCCTTTGACAGAACAAATCAACCCATATTTCTCACTCAACACACAAATGACCAGTCTGAAAGTATCCTACTTTGGACCGCTATGCAAAGACCCAGCTCTTTGGAAAAAACCCTAATAGCTAAAAGGAAAGTGAAGAAGAGAGTGACTAGCAGCAAGGTGGATGGACTCGGTTACAGAAGTGATGAAGCCAGGTTAGGGAGAGACAGAGAAAAATCTATGTGTTGCTTGAAAATGATTCAACCGCATATCAA